ATATATATATATATATATATATATATATATATATATATATATATATATATATATATATATATATATATATATATATATATATATATATATATATATATCCAAGAGTCTATTACAGTACTATCTCACAATTGTACTACGGCCTATCCAATCATATAAGAATTCAAGTACTCTTGGTCCATCATGATCAGGTGCATGATAAAAAACATGTTTGCAATCGTGGTAATATTTGGGACGCTAATTCGTCTTCTACCCTTCATCAGAAATTGAATAAATTTCATTATGCAGGATCTGTTCCCTCTAAACTTTGAGGTCTTCCTGTTCTGATTTTTCTAACTCGGTTGACTCATAGGCATATAGCTAGTTATGGGCCTGACTTTTTATAAATATTTTGTCTTGTTCACAGGCAAACGCCTCAGCGATTGTTTAATATCTGAAAAGATCGTCTCAGGTTCGATTGGATGTGGTCAATGGTGCCTGAGCCACGATTGTCAGTCATTCAACTACGGAGAGAATGAGGAGTCGCAAGGATTGCATACTTGTCAGTTGAACAACTGCACTAAAAAAGATCGCCTCATGTTGGTGGCCTATAACAAATTTGATTATTATGAGATGATCAAAAAGGTAATAATCAGTATTGGAACGGTTATTATAATATTATTTATGGCGGGGGGTGATGGGGGGGGGGGGGACCCTGCCATAAACCAAACTTTGTATAGTTTTGTTTGTTTACAGTAAAGGAACTGCAGCTTGGCTTTGCCTCCGGAGTATATGCTAAGTGGATAAGAACTCTCTCGTTTTGCCAGGGCATGAGAGTTGAGTTTACATAAAAAGTTTCCAAATGATAAAACCATATTTAGAGTTAAAAATTTGTAATTGTTACCAGCAAATTGATTATAATAATTTTTTTAGGTATCACAACCAGAACATTTTTCAGGTAAGAATGGCAAAACAAAAAATTAACTATTTACGGTACAATTGTTCTAGTCATCCTTACGTGTGGAGTTCCAATCTAGGTAGTATTCTCCAATAAACTGTCTTGGTTTGTGTCTGAACTACTTAATTAAAAAAGATATCTCAAACGTGGGGGTCCAGTGCAGGTAGTACTCTATACAATTGTCAATAAGCTGCCGTGGTTTGTGTATGAACTACCTGAAAAAGATTTCTCAAACGTGAGTAATATGAAGTAGTTCGGTACCTACTGGATATTTTTCCAAGGATGGATCCAGCATGAACTGGTAGGAAGAGGGGGGGGGGGG